AGGGGAAGAAAAAGAGAAAGAGGGAGGGAGAGAGGCGGGGAAGAAAGACAGAGAAGAGACACGGCCCGACCCAGCTCCTGCTTCCTCGCCGCGGTCACACCGCGAGGCAAGATGGGGAAGGGAGGGAGTGCCCAACCCTTCCCCCCGCCCTCCTCCAGGGATGCTGTGTTGGCCTTTCTGGGCCTGGGGGGGCCCTTCCTAAAACGACGCGAAGATCGGGACAAAATCGGATCGGGATAACTCGAAACCTCTGAGAATCGGCGGGTTTGGAGGATGTATTGGGCGCCGCGGCCGCTCCAGAGCGTTCCGGAACGCTCTGAGAGCGCTCTGGAACGCTCTCGAGCGATTTATCCCGATCCTAGCCCTGTTTTACTTCCCCTCCTCACCTCGCCTCGCTCCGCCGCTCCCGCGGCTTCCTCCGGGTCCCTCCTTCGCGCCACCTCCGCTCTCGTCCTGCCGCTGCTCCCCCCCGTGTCGTCGCCCGTTCGGTCTCCCTCCAGGGTCCGCCCCCCCCTGCCCATCTGGCGGCCGCAGGCGGCCCGCGTGCAAAATCCGCCGACCCTGTCGGCGTGTGCGAGGGGCTTGGCTGTTCGAGTCGTCGTCTCCGTCGGTCGTCGCCTCCGTCGTCCCCTTTCCCTGCAGCTTCCTTCTCAGGCTCGTGAGCGAGAGAAAAATCTAGCAGTGTCGTAATCGAGTCGAAGGGAAGCCCCTTCCCTTTGATCCCTTCCCCAGGGGGGGGGGGGGGGGGTCCCGGGGGGGGTCCCGGGGGGGTCCCGGGGGGGGTGGGGGGGCAGATTCGTTTTTCCTCGGGCGGCCTAGAAACCTCGAAAACACTCCAAATGAGGTCCGAATGCCCAAGATGGCCCCCGAGACGGCCCAAGAGGGCCCCGAGTCGCCCAAAGATCGGCCGAAAACGCCCAAGATAGCCCCAAGACCGTCCAAGAAGCCTCCAAGACGTCCCAGGCCCCCTCCAAGAGACCCCCAGGAAGCCCCAAGAGGCCCCCACGAGGCTTCCAAGCGGCCTCTAAGAGCTTCCCAAGAGGCCCACAAACTACCCCCAAGAGGCCCCCAAGAGCGCTCGTCGTCGTCGTCGTCGTCGTCGTCGTCGTCGTCGTCGTCGTCGTCGTCGTCGTCGTCGTCGTCGTCGTCATCGCCATTCAGGGTCGGCGGCACCGGCCTTAAGGCCTTCGCAATACCCCTCCCCAGCCCGCCAATGCCCTGCGGCGCAGGGGGGGTCGATGGCAGCACCTGCCACAGGGATTACATGTCCGCAGCCTGAGCCTGACGAGGGAGGAGGACGAAGAGGAAGAGGAGGAGGAGAGGGAGGAGGAGGAGGTGGGAGGAGGAGACGGCGGAGGAGGAGGAGGAGGAGGTGGGAGGAGGAGAAGGCGGAGGACAAGGGGAGGAGGAGGAGCTGCCTGTGCGCCGCCCCCCCCCCCAAACGAACCCCCTCCATTCGTGTACACGCAAGCGTGGCCCTGGGCAGGAGTGACCTGTGGTGCGCGGCTTTTGGGGCGACGCGGAGGGGCAACACACAAGCGCGCAAGCCGCTGCTGCCGCACTGCGCTCGACGGTCGGCGGGCCCCAAAGGGCCCGCACCAGAAGGTCACTCTGGCGAAGGGCCATTCCCGTCCCCCGGGGTGGGGGCGCGCCCCTCCTCGTCCGCGGCTCGTCTTTGCAGGCGGTCCGCCGCGCACTGCCCGGCCTTCCGCGGGGTCGGCTGCGGTGCGGGAACCTGCGGCTTCTCGTGCGGGCGGCGGCAGCGTCGTCGTCGTCGTCGTCGTCGTCGTCGTCGTCGCCGTCGCCGTCGCCGTCGCCGTCGCCGTCGCCGTCGCCGTCGCCGTCGCCGTCGCCGTCGCCGTCGCCGTCGCCGTCGCCGTCGCCGTCGCCGTCGCCGTCGTCGCCGTCGCCGTCGCCGTCGCCGTCGCCGTCGCCGTCGCCGTCGCCGCCGCCGCCGCCGCCGCCGCCGTCGTCGTCGTCGTCGTCGTCGTCGTCGTCGTCGTCGTCGTCGTCGTCGTCGTCGTTGTCGTCGTCGCTGCGTCGATCCAGCCATGTGCTGCGCGGAGATCCCAGGCAGAACCCCCTCCGCGCCTTGAACAAATCAGAACCTACGCTCCCCGCAGTTCTCGGCTCCTGGAAGGCACGTTTTCGGGCTCTGGGACGATCTAAAGTCAGCGAAAAAAAAAGGTGGAGAGTTCCGAAAGCCACGGGCTGAACAAACACAGTGCGCAAGTGGTCTGGTCGGCGCGGCAACGGGAGCGGGAGCAGCGGCATATGGGCGAGGCGGGGCAGTTCTGCAAGGTTGGTGTTTGCTGGTCTTTTTTGGCTTCAAGAGGCCCCCCCGAAACCTGTGGGGGACGCCTAGGGACATCTGGGGACCCCCAGGGACCTTTGGAGAACCCATGGAGCAACATCGTTCGACGCGTCGTCGCTCCCTCCTGCGCCGTGGCAGGCACACCGATCGGGTGCAAAGCGTTGTCGATGAGGACTACCGCCCCCTGGCACGTGCAAGAGGAGCGTGTTTTGTGCTCTGT